GCGAAGGCAGAGGGAAGACCGCATTTGGTCTTATCATGAAAGCTGCAGGTTTGCGGCTCTGCTGACCCACATTTCAGCCGCCTAAAGATACCTGGCTACAATGGACAGAATCCACGGCAGTTGCACCAGTTGGGGTGGATGGAACCCAAAGAAGGCTGGTAGATAACCCACCTACCAACTGGCGCAAAACGGTTTTTCAGCAATTTGGTCTGTTTCATACAGTGGCCAAAATCCACGCCTGGCATACAAGTCGATCCTATTTTTCTTTCGAACCTGTGCGGAAGTAAGAGTTAGGCAGAGGTTCCGTCCAGTTTTACCAGACCTGCGGCATGCGCAAAGCGCTGGCGCCGTTAGGGGCGCCCCCCCCCCCGCTTGAGGCCGACGGCTTTCGAAGATGTCGACGAGCTGAAGGCACGAAGTATCCGGGAGCATCTCGCTCCGTCTACCGCCATGGCACCTCACAGAGACCAAAGGCCCTGCCAAGAGGAAACAGATTCCCACTTGCCCAGCGGCTTCCCCTCTAAACTCCCTTTTTTTCCCATGGCCAGTGGGCATTTGAGGATTGTTGTAGGTACCTCGCACAGGTGCTTTCTGTTAGTGGGAGGAAGGGTAGCGGCTGGTGGTAGTGGTGGAGCGGTGGTTGCAGTGCGATAGAGCTTTGCCATGAAGCGAAGCATTTCAGCAAGGGTAGTCTGTGTTGACACACGGCCATGTGCGGATACAAGTATGCGTTGTGTCTGTGTGTCTGTGTGGGTGGTTCATCCTACGCAAAAGCATGTTGAAGTGCACAGGTGCTTTCCCCCCCCCCCCCCGGAGTCTTGCAACGGGAGGCCTCTGACACTTCTCGCTTCGAGCTGTTTAGGTGGCTGGGGTTTGAGACCGTTTTTTTGGGGTGATCGTTGCGAAGATCCCACCGATAGATCTGCATTCTTTTTCCCCCGCTTTAGCTGATCTGGGGCAGCCAGCGCTCCGATCCCTGCTTCCACCACTTGGTCGAGCTTTGTTCGGGCAAACTCAAAATCAGCGCTGCTTGACTCAATCCAGTTTGATTGATGAAATGCCCCTCCCCCAAAAAAAAACAATACTGGTGAAGCTCAATTTGTGTGTTCCCTTTGACAGCAAGGCGCGCCCCAAAGACCATTTTGGTGGTAACCCAAACTAGGTTTGACGACATAGGCCACCCCGCTCCAAAGTGGCAAGAGGGAGCCGCGGGCCCCTGGCGCAGGCCTCCTTCAATCTCCGTGCCAAGCCACGGGCCCAGAGGACCTTTCGGTCCAAGCCAGCGAGTTCTCGCGGCTGGGTGCGGCTGGGTGGTTTTGAGTGGGTACCTGCCCTCCCACTAAAGGCATTGCTTCTCCTTGCCAGTTGTGTTCATAGGTCCCACGTTCTTCCTCTCGTTGCTTGTTGTTTCCCGCCTGCCACTGCTTTTCATGTGCGCTTCGTGTTGTTCTTCCTGCGTGTTCATCAATGAAGTTTTGTTTTTGGCCGCAGTGGTGCAGTCTTTTGAAGAGTCGTCCTTTTGTCTATGCCAAATCAGCCTGCACACAGTTACCTTAGGCCTGCCAGTACCCTTGAAGATCAAGGGGCTCGCATGAACCACACACACACACAACTGACGGAGCAGCAGAATCATAATGCAGCAGACCCCACATCGAAGTGAGTTGAGTCGGATCGATTGATGCCCCCGAAGAACGAATCCAGGGACATGGAAATCGGTCCACACAAAAAACTCCAATCGTCTCCAATCACCTCTTCCACTACTCCCACCCCCCCCCCCCCTCAGTGACATCGAGGCTTTGGCGGGGTATTGATGCTTGGGAAGAGCCTGGATGCTCAGAGAGCGAGAGATCCTGAGAGCCGATCTGTTGACCTTAGGCATCGTTTGGTTTCGCCTTTGACTCCCAATATCGTTTTTGCGAAAGTGACTGGACGCTTCCGACCTCTCTTCATCTTGCGCGAAAGGCGAAAGGAGCCCATTTTTCCTGTTAGGATTGTTTGGGCACTCTCAGAAGCCTGGGGACCCTTCAAGTTGTGTGCGTCTCCAAAGTCTGCATTGGTTCCAGAGAGCTTCGACCCATCCGCTTCAAGCAACGAGTCTGGTTGGATGATGGTGGCGATGTTTGGCGGAGGGGGGGGCTTGTGTGGGTGTTCCCGCGTTGAGTCGTTCAATTCAAACAGCAGTTAACGTATTTGTTTGTAGAATGGGGGGTGTCCTTCTTGTTCAGAGCTTACTCAGGCTTGGCTCTTGTTTGTTGTGTTGGATTTTGGGTGTGTCGCAAAATTAAAAAGCTAGGGCAAACCGCTGGTTTTAGTCTTGGGCTCCATGTACCAAGCTGTCATGTTCGTACATCGTTTTCGAGCCACAACCATTGTTGTCAAGGTGTGAAATCTCCGTTGCGGTTCCGGGGGGGGGGGGGGAAACGAGCTCATGATGAAGGGCCTTTACTAGGAAAATTGCGGTTTTCCGGTTTTCACATATTTTATTTGCAGTAGCTTGCCTAGACTGAAAGTGTTCTCATTGCCGTTTTTCGGCGGAATCACACACCTTGAGCGCTCCCCGTCTCCTTTGCCCGGCGTTTTTCCCATTGTGTTTCCACCCGGGCGGCCTTGCTGCGCTGCATGCCTCTTGATGGCTATGTCTCCAAATGCCAGCTCCGTCCAATTGGACTCAAACAAACACCACGGGTTTGGAAGCGGGGGGGCCCGGAAGCTGATCACGTGAGTGGGGGTGCGCTCGGTTTGTGCAGGGTAGCCTTTGGATCGCTAAGGGAGAGCACCCATCTAGTCAGTCCTGCCCAAGGCCATCCAAAGCCCACCCATGTGAGCCACAGTCAACCCGGGTAGTTGAGGGACAGTCCCAACCGGAATTGGGCGCCTTCGCCGCCTTTTTACTTCCTTGGGTTTGATTCCTCATTTGTGGCTCGCGAGGCTCAGCTCGGAGTGGAACAACTGCACCTTTGGCACGGTGGACGTGGATACCATCACCAAGAAGGTTGCGGAGTACAACAAGGCTCGCTTGGACTGCGGGAAAGGAACGGGGGCGAAGTGTAGGTGGGGGGTTGGCCACTGGTGCCAACCCTGGACGAACCTGTTTTTTGACCATTGTGGCTTCAGGCTCCCAAAAAGGTTCGGGGTTGACGGAACAGGGATACCAAACATGGGTTGCTTTCCTTTGGCTGGTCCTTCAAAGCTAGCAAAAAACAGGTGCCCCCGAAACGGCACCTTCAGGTGCTGGGAGAATGGAAAGGCAAGGGAAGGAGGAATATGCGACTGAGCCTGCTTTTGTTGCATGTTTGAGCGGAGACACTCATCGGCTAGAGACATGACTGGAGTCTGCCAAAACTCACCCCCTTCCCAAGCCATCATGGCCAATTGCTCCACAACGTTTACTTTACTGGATGGGCTGCAGATAAGAGTGCCTCATTTGACAACTTTCAAGTAAACAAATGCTAGATCAGTAGCCAGAGAGCATGGAGCTTTGCAGCTCTGTGCCTGCCACAAAGCGGCTTTTGAGATTTGTCAGGCTTAGAATAGATGATTATTGCACGTTGAAGTCGTAGGGAGGCTGGGAATGAATGGTTCTACCCATTTCTTCCAAGAAGAGCTGGACAGTAGTCACCTCCACATCAAAGAACAAACTGCGCACATTTTGAATCAGTTTGTGGGGCTTTCCGGAGCGGAAACAAGAGACTAGCGTCTCATCTTTGAGGTGCATCAAAGGCCAGCTTTTCTCGTGTTTTTACAGAACTTAATTCCTTATATCGCTCTTTTGGATTTCTGCTCAGGGCACCAAGACCATCTCGTTGGTGGAGTCTTGCCCATTGATCCTTCTGGCGAAGCCTCTAATCCTTGCAACTCTCAGTTTTCCGATCAATTCGCTGTTTGACCAATGCCAAGTTCAAAGTTCGGTGACCCTATCCCGGTATGCTACAACGAGAGAAACCACCAACTGGGTGTGTTTCTGTTTCAGTTGGTACTCTTTTTGAGGTGGGTTCAAGGGGACACCAGCAGGAAACCACTTTTTGTTCTTGAGGGCCCCCTTTTTGGTGTGGGTTTGAGGGGAAACCAACAGGAAACCCCACCTCTTATTGCAGGTCCCCCCGTATTTTGAGCCACACCCCGCCTGGCCGGTTCCCGCCTCAAAACCGCAAATCACAGCCAACGAGGTGGCGGTGCAGTCCGTGAAGGCGATGCCGGACAACCAGGTGCCGCAGATCTGGGGCGAGCAGGTCACACAGCCCGGGCGCCCGGTTCGCCGTGATTTTTTCCGGTTGCGAAGCCACGGGGGTCTTCGCAACCGGAGAAAAACATCAAGCACCCTCACTCCCCCCTCCCCCCACCAAAAAAACAGGTGCCTCGACTTTGTGGCTTGGACCATCTTTCTGCTTTAACTTTTTGGGGCTTGGAGGTTTCCCTTGGACCCACAACAAGTTGAACACTTTTTGCAGAGGGGTCAACAGCAACCAAGTCACAAAGTAGGAAAGAAGCGGTACCAGATCAATCTGGGCAGTTTTCATCGCAACAGGGTTTTTTGTTTGCAACGGGCTGCAAAAAGCTCAAATGGATTCGATTAATTTCCATGGATTCACTTTGTGAAGTTTGGGCTGAGAGCTTTTTGCGTTCACCCAGTGGGCAAACCAGCTGGACTGATTCAAACTCGACGACCATGATCGAGCAACATTCATTTTGGCACCACACGTTGTCCCATTTTTCCACCGTATTGGTCAGATGATGTCAAGCTCATCGTGTAGTGGTCGTCGGTCATTTTGACCGGAGGAGAGCACTGAGATCCTGTGACAAAGTGCCTTTCCTGTGCCTCTGAAAGGAGCTGCCCCCTCTCAGATTTCAGGATTTCCGGTCGACCAATTCTCATATGGGGGTTGATCAAAAGGTCCAATAAACATGGGATGACCATTGGTTGGAACACCACCAACGATGATATTTGAACCACATACTGGGACAGGTTACCCTTAGTCAAAACTGGGGGCCGAACGGAATATGATCAACTACCATATCTCTTTCCTGGTTGGAGACAACAATCACAGTCAAAGCCAACCTCAGCTCGCCGTGAGCACAGGCCTATGTTGTCTGTTGGTTGGTTTGAAACATCACGCGCACACGCCAATGTTAGGCCATTTTTGTGCCAATGAGTCCTTTTCTGTCCTTTTTGTTCTTAGTTGAAACATCACGCACGCATTGTTGATCAACTGCGTCTTCCCCTGTCCGGTTGCCTCCGTGTTTCAAAGGGACCACGTTTCTTTCCGCCAAACGGGTCGCATCGGATCCGATTCGAATCCGCTCCTCCGCTCCGAGGTTCAAGAACACCTTGCCCGTGGTGGTGGCCTTGCGCAACAAGGCGCTGAAGTCCCTGGCCTCAGGTCGCGGCGCGGAATCGATCGCGCGTCGATTGGACGGGGAATCGATCAACTCGCTGGGAAAGAAGGACATCTTTTTCTTCTTCTTTTTTTTTTGGGGGGGGAAGGCAATATTGGGGGAGATCACTCATTTCAGGCTCCAATATATATCTTGATGTGCGATGATCCTTCTGGTGGTTTTGCTTTGGGAAGCTCCTTCCGGTTCATTCCCCCACAAACTCGTGATTCAACTCTGTTGCTGAGAGCCGACAAGAAAAGAGGTCATGTAACTCAGACGTTTCGATCTCGGGTTTGCTCTCAGTCAGTGGTTGCTCTCGGTCAGTGAGGTGAGAATATATGGTTCCACTAGTTTGTGTGGCCGCAGGATGTTAGTTGAGTTCTGGTGGAAGATCCATGGTTTCCACTGGTTTTAATTAGATTGGTTGGGCGTTGTAGGTCAGTTTGGGTTGTTGAAAGTAGATGTGCCCCTCTCAATCTTCTTGCTTACAGGGGGGTCCAGTAGGTTCCAGCCATAGGAGTCGTTTCTGGTTTCAGTTTTGGTTGAACATAGATGGGCTCCACCAGTGTTTTTCAGTTAGGTTTTCGGTCAGGAGATTAGTCGTCCTTGCAGGTCAGTTTGGTTGAAAATCGATGGCTTCCGCTGGTTTGCGTTTGGCTCAAGTCGTATGGAATCCCTAGGGAGGGGTGGTGCAACCCTAGGGTCACCTCCATCGAAGCTCAACAGGCGGAACCCGCTGCAGTCAGTAGCTGTCCACTCAGTCGCCAGCATGTCCCAAGCAAACATATCAGTTTGAGCAATGGCCCACTAGACCATGTTCTCTCAACGGGCTCTGCGATTTGGGCTTCCCTTCTGGCCAAAATCTGAGGCAAAATGGGAAGGTCCAAATAAATTGGGGGCCGAAGCAGCTGGTTTTTTGGGGGTTGAAGCAAGAAAACACGAGCAGCGGTGTCACATATCATAGTGGGTCGACGGAAGGCTTGGCCAAGGTCCCTTCCGTGGAACCGCTCTCCACTGCAACTATGGCAACCATGGAACTGGAAACCGTGGCGACCATGGAAACCACGCAAATCCTGGAAACCAAACACATGGAAGTCACGGAACTCGCGGCAACCGTGGAAACCATGGAAATCCATGGTTAAGTCCTGGCCACCTTGGGAAGTGGAAACCCTGGAGAACATGAACATCCATGGTTAGGTCCTGGCCACCATGGAAAAATGGAAACCCTGGAGCTACCGGACATGACCATCCTGGACAGTCCTGGACGCCCCGAGCAGCGCACCTCTGCGCCCGCTGTCGAGATCCGAGGCCCAGACACTGGGAGGTCCTCACCTCCATGATCGGCACGCCTGGCCGTGGTTGGACCATGCCACCCGGGGGTCGTTTGGTTCTAAGACAGAAGCTGAACGGGGGACCGGAGTTTTTTTTTCTTCTTTTCTTTTTCGAGGGTGCCCTTTTTCTTTTCTTTGTGGCTATTTGGTAACAAGTCTTTGGACTTTAACTTTTTGTCGGATTTTCCATCGGACCCGTCCCAAAAAGACGGACCATTTCACCGGGTGTCGTTTGGTTTGAAGGCACAGCCTTTTCCTGGGATCCCCCTAGATCCTCCAGGGGTCACTGAGATCTTCCCTTCAAAAGTCGCACTTTACTGGTGAAACTGCCATTTTTGGAGGTCCAAAAAAAGGGAAATTGAGGGACGCCTGTCCTTGACGGTTGCACTACTTGGGAGCGCATTTGCAGACCTGCGTGTGCTATTGGAGCCACGCCCAGGAACCTCTGGCCTGTGGGCGTTTTCTTCACTAGTGTTGGCATGGTTTGAGGGTTTTAGTTTTTTGGTTCTGTCTGTTGATTTTCGTGGGGGGGCGCTGCAGAACACTAAGTCGTTTTTACTACCATACAAAGGGTTGGAAAGCTTGGCACACACTATTCCAGCCACCGATTGGTCACCAATCCAATATCGACGAGCATTGAGAAGCACGGACAATTACAAAGCGGCGTCATACAGAATACACATGTGTTATGGTCAAACGGCCCAGAATGGTCACCTGCCCCTCAATTAAGGGCTTGGCTACCATTCCGGATCTCTGGACCACACATGTTAGAGGACTGAGACAACCATGACAGGGTTGAGATTGAGTAATCACCATGGACAGGAGTTTTGACCATGGCACACCCACACACATGTTCCTTTGCAATACTGTGGATGGACGAACTCATGCACCGCATTGAAACCATTTGAAACCATGAGAAGCCATTGTTTGCTGGTATTTACAGGGGGATCATCGTTCCGGTGCATAAAGAGGATTTTGTCCATCCACAGTATGTGATTGTTTTCACTTGGCATGGCTCAGGGTCCAATGGAACCCAGAAGCATTGACAGAGGTCGCCTCAGCCACGAGTCGGCCTGCACCTTTTTGATACTTGGATCACAGAAATGAAGGGCTGGCTCCCTGTGCGTGACTTCATTCATTCGGGGATTCCTTTGATCAATATGGTCCAGATCAGGCACGGAGATGTTCAATGGCGTTCCGGTGGATGGCCTGTCTTTGCTGCAAGTCACCTAGAGCCCACCGGTTCTTTCTCCCATGAACTAAAAAAGGAGCGTTCGTCCAGGCCAAGAGCTGGATTTGGAGGATGAGGAGTGCGGTGCCCAACGGATGCCGATTCGATCGGGAGCGAGAAGCCAAACCCACCAGAGGTTTAGTATCCTTTGCAAAGGTCTCTTTAATTCTGGTGCGCTCACTTGGGGCTGCAATGGCCCATTCTGGTTGTGTTCCTTGTACTTTTTTTGCAAGCCAGAGGGTTTTGTTTAGGATGCGGTTGGTTTCCTTGCAGTATTTAGTCCACGCAACTGCGAGTTGACCTAGATCTGCGACCGACCATCAAAGTGACGGGGTTCTCACACTCGTTCTTGCCGCTGGTTCCCTTCAAACCGTCGAAGCTTGGGTCATTTCGAGGGTGTCCGGGCCCCGAGACTCGGAGGAATCGACTGGCCGGGGAGACTGAGGTTCACCCTGGGCGGCTTGTTGGGCATGGGCCAGCAGCCCAGGTCCTTGCCGGCCAAAGGGTTCGGAACCGGTCGTCCGGTTCCGTAGATCTTAGGTTTTTAGGTGTTTAGTTGGCTTAGTGGCAGTTTCCATTGGTTCCTTAGGTTTTCAGGTGTCTAGCTGTTTAGTGGTAGTTTCTATTTAACCCACAAGTTGAACTTTTGGCAGGGGATTTGAGTTTCTTTCATTTTTCCTTTCACGCGGCAAGTAAACTGTTTGGCAGCCCGGATCGATCCGTTTGGCCTTGGCTAGGTGCACAACGAGTCGACGGGGTCGGGAATGCCTGAAAGAGTCTAAGACAGGCGTCCTTTCTGGTTTGAGCTTGCTTAAAGATGGTTCCAAACCAGCGGGACCCATCTATTCTTTCCGAAAGGAGGAAAGTGGTGGCTGAGTCAACGGATCTGGCTGCTTTGTTTGCCGCTTCCACAAAGACGCGCAAGCAACCCATGATCTATGTTTGATCCATGCTGAGGTTGCTTTCGTGATTGGCGATTGTCCTAAAGGGAAGGCCCCCCCTCCCACACATTGCGTGGTTTGGCAGGGAAGACCTACGTAGCTTCGATTCTGAGAGATGGACTTGGGGAGTGTGAAGGACCCATAGCCATTTTCAGGACTGGGCCTGCTGATTGCCCGACATTGGATCACAAGAAGACCCCATGTGAACGAGCTGGTCAAAACTTTATGGCTAGTTGGTTGGATCTTTGGACTTTAGCTTTTTGGGAAGTGGATTTTCCACAAGCAGTCAGACTTGTTGCGGAGGGATGTTTATAGGTTGGACTCTGTGGTTTGCCTTGAAATAGGGCAGCCCGCAAGAAGAGTGGATTCTTCTGGATTCCTTTAAAGCACACATGGGGGAGCCTTGTGAGGTGTGGACCAGCACATGGAAGCGATCATGGACGTCTCCGGCAAGGCCAGGGCCAGCCAGGGGCCGCCAGGGGCCGGCTGTGGTCGGCTCGTTATGACGGCCGGAGCTGGTCCGGGAAGGAAGAATCAATTACTATGGAACCTGACAGGGGGTGTCCTGGAAGACCATTTTCCTTTTAATTGGACCCTCTGTCAGGTTCCACATTAGTTGGTGTGAGGGTAGATGCCGCCGGTGTCAGTTTGCTGACAACTATGTGGGACCCATGCCCATGTGTGTTTCTCTTTTGAGGGCACCTTTTGAATCCCGTGGCTGTAAAGGGAAACCAAAAGGAACACCAACCATTTCTTGTGGGGTCCAACCTAAAGGAACCACGGCCATATATTTCGACAAGCGACCCAGATCAGCGTGAACCCCCCCGCCTTTGATTTCCAAGAAGTCCCTTTGGCAATCGCTCACACTGGCTCTCTCATTTTTGGGGGAGAACGATGGTTTGAAGGGATGGTAAACAGGGGGAGAACAACAATAGTAATGGAATGAAGAACAACAGTAGAGGTAAACAGGGGGATGGTTTGAAGGGATAGTTTAAACCTTGACAGATATCCATGTCAGTATATAGTTTCTTCTATCCCTACATTCGTTGCCACAGAACCCGCCAGTAGGTCCTCTCAAAGAAACAAAGGGGAAATGCGTCTACCGCTTTTGGAAGAACTTCATGGGCGGAATACGGAATTCGCTCAGCTTTGAGGCGACCGCAGAGCAGGGCTTGGAAGAGATGCTGGACAAGGTCAAGAAGCCTGAGCCTCAGCATCCCCCCAGCTCGGTCCGGTGGCAGCCCCCCTGGCGTTTGGGCAGCTTCTTGCAAGCAGAGTCTACACTTCAAACCGGTTTCCGGATTTGGGGGGTCGGCTCTTGCTGCCCCACTTCTTCAGAGGTGCATTTTGCTTGGATGTTAGGACTTTAGCTTTTTCCCAACTAATGATTTTCTTTTAAACCACTAAAAGTTGAGCTTTTAGCAGGGGAGCAAAAAGCAATCGCGTCTTGTCACTTGGAAGAGGATGCGATTGTCATGCAGATCTTTGCGCGGAACCGTGGCCCATTCGCCGGATGTCAACCGCCGAGGTAATGTTTTTTGAACCGCCGTCCCATTGGCTAAGTGGTGACATGTGCCATAGTCGATGTTGGTGGCGACGGCCCGGGAGCACTCGGGGAATTGACACATACGGGGTCCCATTTCCCTATGACCACGATGCCTGAAACCTCAGAGGATCCCTTCAGGAGATGGCTCAGCGCGTGTGCGAAGGGATCCGTGAGTGAAATCGCGGGCGCAGGCGCCTTGTTGCGTTTATCAGGACCTGGGAAGACTTGGAGCTGGTGATCAACCCGTACAAGGATCCGCCTGGCAAAACTGTGCCCACAGGTCTGCTTGAAGTTCTTGGTTTCTGGAGAGCAACCATGTGGCCCCAAGCAGCCGCCAGTTAATTTTTTTTGGATTGGTGCTTTGGGGATTCGAATCCCCGGTTCTTGAGAAAAGAGGGCAAATGGGAACCCCCTCTTCAACCACCAAGCCATCCAAACCACCAAGTGGTACCCTGGAGCACGGCGGTGGCCCTCTTCTTCCCTCCACTCTGATTCCGCAGCTCAGGCCCCTTGAAATCACAGGGGCGCAGTGTCTGTCCGAAAGTTGCGGCGCGCTTCCTACCTTTTGGCCCCGCCAAGAATCATGTTTTCATGGCCAACCTGGCCACTCGACCAAGCCCAGCTCTATCTCAGGCCCGGTCTTTGCGAACTTGCGGGGTTTTCGAATTGAGCTTGCAACATATCATCATACCCCAACTTTACTTCGCTGAGGGAAGGCCGACCTTTTTCTACGCCTCGTCATCCAAAGCAGCTTTCCAAGGTCGATAGAGGGACTTGCCAGGACAGCAAGGACGTCTACGTCCTCGGCTCCATCGAGGACATCACCGTCGCCCTCGAAGACTCCTTGGTCACCATCTCCACCATCGCCCCCACCCCAGCGATGTCAGTGAATGATGGAGCATTGCTTAGCTACACTGACATGTGGCTTGTCCTGTTTTGCTTTTCCATGGACTTCTAGTAGTTTCAGACTTTCTTTTTTAGCAGCAGCTTTCTGTCTCACATGGAGCCTGGGCTTGATGTGTTTCCAAACAAATATGGAACTCAATTTGGCGCTTTCCTTTTGGTTTCCCTTCAACACCATGCCCAAAAGAGTTGGCCTACCATGTGCATCGGAACGTGTACTCCCTGCTTCGGCCCTGAAGCATGGTATTCCGTTTCAAGGAGCATTCACCAGTCGATGGCAAAAATGCCTTCGGCACTTGAGATGCAAAACAGGCGCAATTGATGTTGTGTCCCATCCGGTATATGTACCATGACTCACATAGAATGTTGCATTGAGGCATAAGACTGTGGACTGGAGAGTACATCGTATGGAATATCATACCCACCGCCCAAGAAAGCCCTTTACAAGCCCTCTGTGTTGGCTCCGCCATTTGAACCTTGGTGAGGCATTCCGGCGTTTTCAATTTGCAGGTGCTGGGCCCTTGTGCTGTGGGGCAGGCTTGCGAACACATGGGGGCACTGAGTCACCCTTACTTCTTCAGGCGTTTTGTGCCACCTGTTCATCAGGTACTTCAGGTTAACCTTAATTGGTGGCTTGGATTTATGGATTTGCGGTTTGGGGATTTGAAGCCCTGCTTCTTGTAGAGGGTAAATGGGAAACCACTCCCAATCCAAACCACTAATCCAAACCACCGATTCGAGGGAAGCTGACTTCCTTTGGATGGGATTTCCAGCCCTCAAACCACCGGCCAAGCATAAGCAAGCAACACTGAAGCCTGAGGCCGGCAGCCGCTACGTGGGCCCCATTCGCGCTGAGGCGCGGAGCTAATGACGTGTTCTGGGTGGGGAATTCTCCCAAGGGTAACCAAAATGCAGTGGTTGCGGGGGGGGGGGGTGTAGGGGTGCTGGGTGGATCATGTTTGCGAAGCTTTTGTTGTGAATCACCGTTCTTGGGGGCAACCCGGAAAAAAAGAGGCTTGACCCAAGAGACTTCTGGACTTCCTATCGGCATGGCACCGAAGAGATGGATGACATGGACGACTTGGCTGAGACATTTCTGTGCTAATAGAACCCAAGAGATCAAGTAGTCACGAATGCCGTACTGTGGTATCACAGAAAGGGTTGATTTTCCACAAAGGGCTTTTTGACCAGTGAATGAATCGGGAGCCTAGTGTGAATGGATGCAGATCCTTTTCTTGGATGCACACCCTTCAAATGAAGGTGGCCTGCAGACAACCCATTGATGGAGGAATCTCCTGCGGGGCCCTTTTGTTGGCTTCCATGCTTGAATTGCACGGGAGTATTGTCTTTGTGCGGGCTACTTTGTCCCTTCCCTACAACCCGAGAATGTTTCTAAGAACCATTCCGGTGGGCAGGTCTCTGATTGGACTGATTGGAATCACCGGTCGAACCAGCGAGACGGACACTGTCCTTGATGCCTTTGTCATTCCCAAAGCCCAGCTTTGGGCACTTCATCCCGATCCAAGTTGGAAAGAAAGCAGCAACTGGCCCACTCGTTGCTTTCCGCAGGTATGGGGTGGGGGTTGAGAAGTTCGGAAGGTTCAAAGTCAATTCGCCGATGCCGGGAAGCTCAACAGGTGGAGCAGTGGCAGAAGGATCTTCTGCTCTTCCAGGAGAGCCACGGATTTTCGGGGCGCAAGCGCCTGCGGTGTCTTTTTTTGGGGGGGGGGAAGGTTGGGGGGCAGGCACCAGGGACCGGTTTTTGGGGCAAGTCTTGGGCACAGAGTATTTGGCGTATGGAGCAAGTGCCGGCAGCAACTGAGTTAGGCCCGAGTGCGATGTTAGGAGCGTGTTGCGCTGCTGCATGCGTCAACCTGCGAGTCGATTGCCTCAATCTACTCAGGCAGCCTAGGCATCTGCAGACTGCTGGAAGGCAGCTAAATTGCGGCACCCGCGAGGTAAGTTGGCCCAGGGCACGCGAAACAGGCGTGCACAGATGGACCGTGCTTGACAAGATCAGTCAAAGTCAGGGAACTGTTGTTGTGCCCAACCACAATACCGTCATACTGTGGCTGATTGTGACATCCGTTCGCACCACTCGGAAACCATGGTTAAAGCCATTGTTTATTGGTCTTTACAGGGGAATCATCATTCCATGGTTTCTTAGGTGATGCGAAACGGATTTCGTCCATCCACAGTAATACACCTGATATTCGTTTCTCCCCAGGCTTTGGGTGTGACGGGGTCTCCAAATGGAAGTTGCCACAGGAGACGCTGGACGAGTGGCTCAACGTGCAGCGGAACTGGATGTACTTGGAGCAGCTCGGCTGTGGATGCGGCGGATGCGGTGGATGCATATTGCAAGTAAACCCCACCATGGACCATGCACTACAAAAACACGGTACCCTCCCTACTAGCGTAACAAGTGTCGGCGGGTACCTGGAAGATCAATTTCCTCTTGCGACCCCCCGGGAGCGAGGGTAACATTTGGGGGAAATAAGAGGGCTTGCTTGCCTTACTTGCAGCTTTAGCGAATCCACAGTAGGGGAGAGAACCCTTCAGAAGTTTGCAGTTTGTCAGACTACAGAAATACCCCCCAACCCCCCCCCCCTCCACCCCTCGCGTAACGTACTGTTTTGGCTGGGAGGAACAATATTTTTGCGGTACCAACACCCCCTTTCCGAGCCTAAACACTGTTCAAACTGGTAGTTGCCGAATAAGGAAAACAATCAGCAGAAAACAGCTTCAGAATTCGGATTTGTGCTTTTCGAATTGGTTCAATAGGTCGAGATCAGTTTAGTACTGGTTTAGTCTCCTGCGGTGAAGAAAGAAAGGCATCGAGGTGGGACCATATGCTGGTTCAGTATGGGTGGTTTGGTATTGGTTCTAAAGTGTCCCCACATTCGGCTGGAGCTCGCTGGAAATTTGAAAATATCCTTGAGTATTGAGAGATTTGGGATCTTCATGGTGCGGAGTCAATTAGTAGGGGCAAGCGGTTAAATAAATTGGATTGGCATGTGTGTTTTGGCCATCCTTTGCAGCTGTGAACAAAATGGATTGACACCTGGGTTTTCCACATATTTTTCGGGGATCCTTCATTCTAGGCCCTCTCGAGGCCCATCAAGCGACCCTTCACGAGCACAAGTATGGTTTAGTCACTATTTCACACTTTTCAGTCTATGCGGTGTGAACCTTGGTGATTGTAGTCCCCTTCCCTGTCTGCCATGATTCGTAGGTTGCCCCACAGCTGCCAGTGACCCTCTAGGGCTCCCACTGCAGAACAGCGAGCTCCGCCTTGCAAGAAGACACGCCATAGACGAAAGCAGTAGGCAGAGTCTCAGCATGGTTGTCAAAGCCCGTGGAATTTCTCAGGCACTCGGGTGACTTTCCGTGGTTCAGAGGGCCAGCCGGTTCCAGAGGTTTTAGATCTTGGTAGTTGGTTTAGTGGTGGCTTCCGCTAAAGCCAAAAGTCAAAGACTTTTCGCGAATCTGAACACCTGCCCAGTTTCCACCTGCCTCAAGCTTGGGGATGGGCTAATACGTTGAGAGCTATTGGGGCGGGCGCATTGTCAGGTCCATCTTCAACGCCGGGGATATCAAGAAGCAGCTGCCCGGGGAGAGCGCCAAGTTTCAAGAGATCGACCCTCGACTCGAGACCGATCAGTCGACCTCCTGTTGGGTTAAGGAGGAAGGTTGAGGATGCCTCCCGTGGTTTTTTGCTTGGGCAAAAGACGACCAAGCCCAAAAGGGAACATCCGCCGGAATGAGCTTTGTTCTTTTGACCACACCATTTTGAGTTGGCTGCTCACCCTCTAGCAGCCTGGTCTAGTGCCGGTCAACTTGCGTAGCTGCACCCTTGGCCACTCGGTCACCAATCTTTGCAGTTCAAGCCCTCGTTACTTGTCCCACTAACATGGCAGTTGTGTGGAGGTACCTGGAATTCAGTTCCTTTTGAAGGGACCCCCTGTCAGGTGCTATGTTAGTGGGAGGGAGGGTAAGCTGCACTACGGAATGTCCAGTGATTTCGAGCCGGCAATAGTGCTGGCAAGGCAGGGAACGCCTCGAGCTGAAGAGTCAGCTGGAACTCATGGAGGCAATTCACCTTTTTCAGCCCAAAGATGTTTGCTTAGGACCATGGCATTCAGTGAATTCAGCGAAAACGGCCGATACACAAAAGAAGCTGGCTCTGGATATCTCAGTGTGCTGCGTACCTTCAACATATGCCGTCCTTGCGCGCAGGGCGCCATTTTTCGACTACCCCAAGGTAGACTGCAATCCAACGGTGGTTGATTTTCCCGAAAGGGAACCTCTCAGTTTAAGTCCACCTTGGGACAGTCCGAAACAGAACCCTGATTGCGCCCACGGCTCTCTACGCCAAGGATGCGCAGTGGCGAGTCATCATGAAGGACTGAAACGACCGAAGGGGTCAAAGCGTTGTGTCTTAAAATAGACATGGTTTTGACACGAAGCGTTGGGTCAAAGTGTTGAGATCCCCCCCACATCTCAACCATGCTGGTTTCTTATTGGTTTCCCTTTGGAACCAACCCTGAACATGATGTGAATGGTCAAGATTTGCCAACCTCAAAGGATGTCATTGGAGAATCAAAGGATGTGGCTCGTGTGGGGGCGGGGGGAGGGGCGGTTTACGTATTGCTTCCCCCAGCTTCCCTCACCTTCTGCTGCCAGAAAGGTCCAGGCTTATTGTTGACGACTACGTCTATATGACACCCAAAAAGAAAGGCAACTGAAACCGAATTGATACTGAAACAGTGGTGGCGGATAAACAATTAAGTGTTGATTCATGGCCTTTTTGCTGTTCAGCGGGAGAGGGAACAGGGCTTACTGGCCACAGTGGACCATGTCATTGACCACACATGCTACTTTTGCGGAACGGACCCTTGAATCAGCATGCTATTTCGAAAAAACGGGCCCTGATGTACCGCCCATTCTAGTAATGGTTCAGCTATTTTGAAACGGCGTGTGGCAAACCACAACTTTGAGAAAGCCGGACGTGTTCAACCTGCCAGATGAAGCTGGTCTACGAACATTCACGCGTGTGCAATCATTTGCAAGTGCTTTTGCACCCGAACGCGCTGTGCTGTGGCCAACAAGCGTTGCTGTTCTTTTTGAGGTGGGAATTAGGTTTTGATGTGTGAAACCAGTTTCGCCTCCCCTTGAAGTGAATATTTGCCACGCTCTTACTTTTGACCTGCAAAGGATTGAACAGGACAAACACACTCCAGCCAGCCAGAACAAAGGTGTGTTTTCGTCACCAAAGTCTGGTTTTCAGCTTTTTCGTCACCCATGAACGATAAGTTATCACTATTCCCTTGGTAGTCCCATGGTCGGTCCCCACCCCCCCCCCTCCACAAACAGGAGTTGGACCCCCCCAACAAAAGGCACCAAAACGAACCTTTCACAGGACGGCCCCGCTTTTGGCTTGGTTTTTTTATTGGGTCTATGTTTGTTTTTTCTATCGGAGAATCAGCCCTTACAGGTGTGGTTTCAAGCCCCACGGGGTGACCTCGTTTCAGTTTGGCTCATTCATTTGTCAGTGGGATCTGCTTTCCAATCTTGGGTTGCTTGTCCGTCTGTTTGTGTGCCTGATTGGCTGCTTGCTTTCTGGATTAGATTTTGAGTTCTTTTTTGGCTATTATTTGACATGCGCTTTGATCTGATTTGTTTATCTGTCCGTCTGTTTCTTGGCTTGCTTGCTTTCCTTTGTCTGTTTCTTTGCTTCGGTTGGTTCACTTCGCTCGGTTTCGCTTCGGTTTTGTTCGGTAGGAGACCTACGAGTACGCGGTGGCGCTGAAGGCGGCCACCAAGCCCGGGCGCCTGGAGCTCTTCAAGGCGCGGGAGTCGGCTCGTTTCGCGGCGGGTCAGCGGGGAGCCGAAGGGTCGGAGTCGCCGTGGCTCCTCAGGTGGGAACCCCTGCCCGGTTCAACTTGCCTTTTTTGGTCTTCTCCGGTTTTTTCTTCTTTCGTTTTATTTTTTATAGTTGGTTCGGTGGAGGTTTCCACTGCCACGAAAGGTTGAGCTTGTAGTGGATCTGACCAGTCTAGTTGGTGGTTTGGTTTGGTGGTTTGGATGTTGGCTTGGGGGGGTGCCAAAACCCGCTTCTTCAAAAGGAAGTGGGGTTCAAATCTCCAACCCACCAATCCAGACCACCAGCCAAGGGGTTTCCTCTCAGTTTCCCTTTAACGAAACGAGGTTTCACAATTTTGAGAACTGGATTGGGATTTTTCAATCCTCATGGTCATAGCCATAGGTCTCCTTTTTTTCAATTAGTTTGGTTAGAAACAGTTGGTTTGGGTAAGTTTGGTTTGGACACTATTCCTCACTTCCTGAGTTTATGGACTCACTTCCCATAGGTGCTTTGAGGTTTGGAAAGGATGGGGTTGTATGAGCCATTTTCCGATTTGTCCAAAAGGTCCCCTATGGTCATAGCCGCTATAGCCCTACCCTCCCCCAACATGGAAGCTCCTACCCTTGGCTCCAAAGGGATGCTAAAAGGGACACAGCACCATTTGAGGGGTCCGATTCCTCACCCAATTGGTGGTTTTGGTGAAGTTTGGTTTGAACCTTACGCCTGACTTCAATTTATGGAACTCGCTTCCCTCAAGTGTCCTTAGGTTTGGTTAGACATGGGCGGGTTCCACTGGTTTAGATTTGTTTTATTCCATCCAGAGCCATGTTTTGGATTGTGCACCCAAACGGGGTTGTGGTACCCAAGATCCACACCACCAAAGCAAACCGCCATGGCTCGCTTCCTGAGTTCATGGATGTTAGCCAGTTTTCCGGGGTGTGGACCATGTTCGTGGCATACAATAAGTTTGGGACTTTTCCTGGCGAATCCACTCAGGAAGTGAGCCTTAGTGGTTTGGTTGGGTGAAGTTTGGACCTCAGGGGCTACCGTTGCCGTTGGTTTCAAATGTGGTTCAGCTTCCCAAAGAAACCCATCCAAAAGCCGTCAATCAAGTAGGGTCACCTAGTTTTTGTTTTGGGGGGGGGAAGATGTCCATGAGGAAAAAGGGGTCTTTCTTTTTTGGAGGGTACCCATTTGGTTGTGGTTTTAAAATGAAACCACACCAGGAAAACCCTCATTTTGGGGGGGTCCCACCTAACAAAGACCCCCTAATGGCAAGGACTTTCTTTGGAGTTTCTTTTGAACTGATTTACCACCCCAAAGAGGGTACCTTAAAAAAGGACACCATGTACATAAGCAATTGCTTTGAGCACAGCATTTGTGTAAAGCCAAGCGCCGCAGGCAAGTGCAAACCATTTAGGGGCTTGTTCCATGTGCTGGATGCTTTTGTTGGGATCATGGTGCACCCAACAAATGGATGGTTTACTTTAGAAAAGACACCCATTGTTTTGTTCGGGTCAGTTTAGTCTTACCCCAACTATCTTGCAGCTTTTTGTCAAACCCCGACGTACAGGGTTGCACCATTAGAGACAGCGGTTGAAGGCAGTGGTTTGCGGGCAGTTTTCGGCCCTCAATGGCGCAGGCGCTCGCGACTCTTTTTTTTCGCTTGCGCAGACAATATTGGGGGAGAGTCTGAAGTGTTTTGTTCTAGCAAACGGTTTGGATGCGTTGTTTGTGGATTTTCACTTGTTGTTCCCCCCTGTTGGTCCTTTCTTAGCAATATTTGAGTACTCTTTTAATATCCTAATTACAGAGGTGTATCCACAACAGCACACATCCAACCCGTTTCTATTGTTTTCTTTTTTGCCGCATCTTGTTATGGCGGCTGCCGTCAAATGCTGCTGCCCATCGCCACGGTCCAGACTACTTCACAGCAGGGTTGATGATTGACTAGTTGAATAGATCTAATCACACATTGTTGGAATTCATCAAATCCATGGGACAAGGGGTGCTAGTTCAAAGGCTTGTGATGCATCATCATTTCATGCTGTAGATGGACAAATCCTGCACCAGTTGGTAGGGGGTTCGTCCCACTATTCATGGGGATTCATCAGTTTCATCCATCGCAAAAGGTTCAGTGGATTTGGTCCATCCACACAGCTGCTCGCTGTGCTTGCCTGTGCCAGAAAGCAAGTGAGACGTTGGACCAGATCCAGAAGCAATTGGAGGATGGGAGAGTGTTGACAGCTGGCCAGACCGGCCCCATGAATTCGTGTTTTCTTCTTCCTTTTTCTGCGTTTGCTGTTGCTGCTGCTGCTTTTGCTGCAGTTGCACGGGTGGGTGTCCAAGCATGGGTTGTGTTTTTGTTTACAGACTGTTTCGGGACATGGAAGCCCACAGACACAAATCAAACACCGGGATAGGACATTGAATCGTGCATGTTTCCTTGGGAACACACCTACTCACAGTATCCGAGGTTTGGTTAGCATCTGCCGCAATCTGGGTCTATTTGGGTAGGTCTCTCATTGTACAACAGGGTGTTGACCATAGCTTATCATCACCGAGAGCCCAGCGGCAGCTCGTGGCAGCGGGGTGCTGCCTGTCCTTGGAGGGGGTTGGCTGAAGCATTTTGTCAATTGTGAAGCAAAGGGATTGGGAGACCCTTGGGGAACGAGGCGGCGAAAGTGGCAGTTGACCGACAGGCATCGGGGCTATGGAGCTTTGGTGGGCAAACATTTGTTTTCCCCAGATGCAGCGTTTCTTTAAAGAGAGGCCGCAGGTAGGTTGCTCAATTGAGCTTGAAACGGCTGGAACACGGGGCTAGCCCATGTGGCTCGCAGGATCCCTTAGGAGAAATGTCATGGAGCAACAAAATGGCATGGAGCAGATGGACCAACTCTTGCTTTGCCAATTTGACAGTCAGCCCTTGCCTGCGCTTGTCTTTTTGCCACTGCAGTTGAGAGTTTTCCCGAAAGCATGGCGAAGGGTTCTTCCGCTGGGTTCACTTGAGTTGTTCTCATGAGAGTCATTACAAGGTGTCATTGCAAGGAATCATCATCATGAAAGTCAATGCAAGGAGTCATTGCAAGGAGTCATTGCAAGGAGTCATTGCAAGGAGTCATTGCAAGGAGTCATTGCAAGGAGTCATTGCAAGGAGTCATTGCAAGGAGTCATTGCAAGGAGTCATTGCAAGGAGTCATTGCAAGGAGTCATTGCAAGGAGTCATTGCAAGGAGTCATTGCAAGGAGTCATTGCAAGGAGTCATTGCAAGGAGTCATTGCAAGGAGTCATTGCAAGGAGTCATTGCAAGGCAAGTCATTGCAAGGAGGAGTCATTGCAAGGAGTCATTGCAAGGAGTCATTGCAAGGAGTCATTGCAAGGAGTCATTGCAAGGAGTCATTGCAAGGAGTCATTGCAAGGAGTCATTGCAAGGAGTCATTGCAAGGAGTCATTGCAAGGAGTCATTGCAAGGAGTCCTTGCAAGGAGTCATTGCAAGGAGTCATTGCAAGGAGTCATTGCAAGGAGTCATTGCAAGGAGTCATTGTCATTGCGAGCTGCGCATGGAGTCAAGTGAAAGTTGCAAGTGCAAGGAGTCAAGTGCAAGTTGCAAGTGCAAGGAGTCAGGTGCAAGTTGCAAGTGCATGGAGTCAAGAGTGCAAGTTGCAAGTGCAAGGAGTCAAGTGCAAGTTGCAAGTGCAAGGAGTCAAGTGCAATTGACTTGCGAGGAGTTAAAATCTCTTCTTAGGGCGGCGGGGTAGTGCCGACGACACTACACGAAAATCGACCCTCTGCGGGGATCGGCGTGGTCGAGGTGCAAAAACCCATGGTTTTTGCGATTTCTGCGGTGCTCGCGCGACCCTCTGCGGGGATCGGCGTGGTCGAGGTGCAAAAACCCATGTTTTTGTTTGCGATTTCTGCGGTGCCCGCGCAACCCTCTGCGCGGATCGGCGTGGTCGAGGTGCAGAAACTCGAGGTTTTTTGCGATTTCTGCGGTGCCCGCGCAACTCTGCGGGGATCGGCGTGGTCGAGGTGCAAAAACTCAAGGTTTTTGCGATCGCGCAAGTGGTCGAGGTGCAAAAACTCGACTTTTGTTGTTCGAACTGGTCCTCGGGAGTTGTCTCGTGGTTCGCGCGCCTGCTCCCGGAACCGGCGGGTCGCGGGTTCGATTCCTCCCTGGTCCGCGGGCGGGCGTCGCAAGATGCAACTTGCATTTTAAAGCAACTTGCGCAGACCAACTTGCACCGACCAGTTTGCGCAGAGCGCCTTGCCTAGAGCAACTTGCGCAGAGCAACTTACGCAGAGCAACTTGCACAGAGCAACTTGCACAGAGCAGCTTGCACAGAGCAACTTGCAGGGAGCGCAATTTGCACAGAGCAACTTGCAGGGAGCCACTTGCAGGGACCAACTTGCCGGAGCAACTTGCGCGGAGCAACTTGCGCAGAGCAACTTGCACAGTGCAACTTGCGTAGAGCAACTTGCGCAGACCAACTTGCACCGACCAGTTTGCGCAGAGCACCTTGCCTGGTGCTGTCTCGTGCTTGCTTCACAAATGCTTCGTGGAGGGAAAAAGAACGCATCCTGCAGCGTTGGGCCGACCTCGCTTGCGATGTTATGCTTTCGGGCCAACCGTGGTCTAGTTTTGTTGTTGCGGAAGCAAGTACAGGCAAAGACAAGAGCTGATTGCCAGCTGCCAGGAATCTTGCTTCGATTGCTATTCGAAGAAATCAAGTTGCAATTTCGCACACTTATGGACTGGCACCGGAAGTCACTCGAGCCTCACCTTTTTTGGCATGGAACCCAAAGAGATTCCTTTATATTCGATCTTCATGACCCTTGAAATCATTGGTGGATACAATGTAACCCGACACCAAAAGGTCTGGGATCAAGCATCACACCCATGTATACGTGAATCTTCAGCCAATCCCATGCATGCCTCGAAGGCACGGCCAAGCCTTTTTTTCCGGAAGTGGCGAGGACTACTTGCTCTCGAAGTGTGTGGCCTTCCCACGCTTCTTCTTCCTCTCGAACGCGGGGTTCCCGGAAGAAGACCGGGGATCATAGTCTTTTTTAGGCTAGGTGGTTACATAAATGGGCTCCACTGGTTTAGATGGGTCTTATTCCATTCACCAGGCTCATCTATTTTTCCAAAAGGACACATGACAGCGGTCCTTTTACGCAAATGGCTCGTCAAAGTTCTGGGAAAATCGGGACTTGGACTGGGACTCCATTGGTTTCCTTTTGAACTAACCCCAAGATGGCACCCTCGAAAATCAACACCCCCATATGTCCCTTTCTGGGTATCCAAACTCGGGCCCTGTTGAGATTGGACTCCTTTTGGTGGAGACAAACAAGGATTCCTGAGAGATGCGAGCGAGAGAGTGGCGGCGATGTGCAGATGGAACAATGATACACTATCCGTCTGAGCAGGAACATAGTTTACAGGGGATCCTCATTTCGAGTCGGTGAACTATTATGCTTTACCTGGACTTGAGCCTGTCATTGCTCAACGACCGCTGGGCTACCGTTGTAATGTGGCAGCCCTTCTTTTTCATGTGAGTGCCACTAGAGTAGTTGGGTTGTTCTCTCAAGGTTCTGTAGTACACCGCCACTCGAGGCTTTCAGCCAGTTGGCTTTCTATTGGGCATGTGTTTTCGATGTGTTTGGCCGTTGCTGCGCACAGACACTGCGCGCCAACTGCGAGGAACGTGCTTGGGCGGGCTTCAGTCAGACTAAACACCCAGCGCCTGTTGTTTGCTGCACTGGTCAGCCTTGTGGCAACAATTGTCTCAGAGCCTACTTTGTGCCGACCATTTGCGCTATGATCAAGCCACCTTGCTTACGGTTGGCAGGGACCATGATCCGCACGAAGTCTTCGACTTTTCTCATGACCACCCCCACATGAGCAGGTCATTTGACCATTGCTCCTCTGAGCAACAGTCAACATTCAGCATCCGCTACCGTAATACAGGGCACGACATGGGAGCTTGCACGCGCACTCTCACACACACACACAACGGCATGTGGGTATGGGTCAAAAAGATAACCCTAATCAGGGGACCGCAGGTTTTGGGCCCACATTTTTGACCCACAGCCATGTGTTTTTTGCATAGGAGGTCGGGTCACGCTGCTTGGGGTCAAGTCGTTCTGACAAGGGCGACTCCCTACGTCCCGTGCCAAGGACGAGCTGCTGGAGATCCTGTCGCAAGCCAAGCGGCCGCAGGCGCGCGGGGTTCGTTGGGCGTTTGGGTCGGCCGAACCCGAACCAATGGCCTTGTGTCCAAATGTGTGTGTGTGTGTGTGTGTGCGTGTGTTCATATCTCTGGGCTTTGTGACAGGAAGCCGTTCACGGGCCCAGGCATCGGTCCTACTTCCGCATGAGCTCAAGTGACCGAGGGTTCCCATGTCAGGTTGGTTTCAATGGAAACCAAAAGCTTTGGGGGCAGCACATGCACAGATGCATCTCTTTCTTTTTGGCAGTGGAGCTGTTGGCCTGGTTTATGCTTGGAGCAGAGCGTTTCGGGACATGAGCTTACCTATTCTGAGCCAGCTGTCTATTTGCAGTTGCTTGGGAGTTGCATGGATTGCCTAATGTAATTAGCGACAACCTGGCGTTGGAAGTTATGAGGATGTGGGGTGACGTGTTTCTTGCCTGCGCATTGCTGTACCTTGACTCGTGTGTACAAATGTTATTCCCTAGGCATTTCACTTACGTTGTTCATGCAGTGCTACCGACAGCAACGCCCACTGGACCCCGTTGGCTCTTGTAGCAGGAGCAGATTGAAGGCCTGATGGCTACGGGTTTCGCTTTCGAGTGTGGAAAGAGGGGCCAAATCTCACCTGAAAAGCGGACTAGAAGAGTCTGTTGCCCCCACCCTAAAACCCTGGGTTTCTTCTATTGGTTGCTTGTGCTCCCGACTTCCCCGAAGAAAAAAAGCAAAAACAACCGGAGAGGTGCCGATTGGATTCGGACTGTCAGGCGGTCCAGCCGCATTTGCGGAAGTGCTTCGACAACTTGGTGAAGCTCAAGCCCGGGCCGCCGAGTTCCGCGTTTCGCGTTTCGCGTCTCGCGCTTCGCGTTTCGGGGAGATTCATCCGGGTCGTGTGGGTCACTGGGTTCCTGGGAATGGGTTGAAAGCAGGGCACTGAGAAGAAGCCTTGGGGTGAAGGCTGGTGGACCCCACGCTTTTCAGGTTAAGCTTGCGAACTTTGCAGCAAGTTCAGCCTTGGGAATCTGAAACAAAGTTGGGGACAATCATTTGCTCACGTTCAATTCTTGGGATCGCACAAGTCGTTTGCAATTGTAGTCATTCTTCAGGCAGCATGACCACACCCCTACGCACAAATGAGTCGATGGGCCGGTCTGTGGGTAACGATACTGTGGATCGTGAGGTGGACAGCAACATCGAAGCAGTTGGGGAGCGTGTGCATTGCTTCAGACCACAATGTCAAACAATTCCTCTGGATTTGTACCATGGTCAGCAGCACCAGTTCTTTAGGGCTGGATCCTGACTTCATTCACCAAAATTTCATCCGGGCTTGGATCACTACAAGAGCTAAAATCAAATCCGGGTAATGTTGACCCCAGATTAATCACCCTCAGTTTATGAATATGCGGGTGTTCCCCTCCAAAAGTGATGCATCCCCACTAAAACCAGGGAAAATCACCCTCTTGTTAATACACCGGGCTTTGTTAATCCGGGGTCAACATGAAATGAAGGTTAGAGAAGGAAGCAGGTGCTGTAGAGAGGTACCAGGTCTTGACTGTGACTCCCATCCAAGAAATGTGAGAAAGGCTCCCCGCGTCTGTGGCTCGGGGCCCAGATCTCCAACATCTCAAGGTTCGGGGACGGCTCCAACTCCACGGATATCCACGCCATGATCTCCGGGGAAGGAGAGGAGATCCCCTTCTTCAAGATGCTGAAGGCAGGTTTCCGGCGGCAAACTTGGCGTTGGGAACGGATGTTTGGAGTTGGCTTGCCAAGCTTGGCTTGGGCAAGGGATGGGGGGTTCTAGTCTTGAGCATTGAATGGAAGTGACCTTTGGCTGGTTATGCATATGGTTCCTGTGGGATCGACATGTTTGGGCCAGTTTCCGATCGAAGGCTTTGCGGCGTGCTTTGTGAACAGAAGATTGTGAGTTGGGATTGATCAAAGTAAGTGACTTCCTTGTGGGCTCAACGACGGGCTGCAATGGGGGCTGCACTTACCGTCCGACGGAGTCGTGCGCTTGCCGGTCGTTTGACGCCTTTGGCAGGCGCGCAACGGAGTGGAGAAGTGGCTGAGCGCAGAGGGTGGGGTGGAGGAATACATGGTGAAGACGATGCGGGCGGAGGTCAAGAAAGGCGGGTGACGAATGGCGGATTTCTCGGATGGATTTTGAAAGGGAGTTGTATAAATATATATATATATATATATATACATATATATATATATATATTTAAGTAGGATGTGGTTTTTAATACAGAAAGTTCGTCAGCCAGTGGCAAAAATCGCACGGCGCCACAGCGAGAGCGCTCCGACGCGCACGATCCCCGCGGAGGGTTCATCCAGCACCTGCCAGACCCACCCCCGGCTAAGAAAGAAGAACAAATTAAAGGCTGCGAGCTTGCGCTGCGTAAGCTGGGCTGTGTAGGCAAAGCTGCGTAAGTCAGGCTGCGTGAGCTGGGCTGCGTTTGCTGGGCTGCGTAAGCAAGGCTACTAAGCCGAGCTGCGGACGGCAACCAGGAACTAGCCTTCGCTAACGCTCTCGGGACAAATCGTCTTCCAGGACCACAACCCGTCAATCAGGCTCCATGTTAGTGGGCGGGAGGGTAAGGCGGGTGTACGATCAAGGTCGGCAGTGCGCAGGCGCTGATGTCCCAAGCCATGAACTGTTTGCAATGTGTATGAAGGCCTATTGACAGGTTTCAACCCAGCAGCAGCTGCAAAAGCGAACCTGTTTTCACCCGCGTTCTGGAGTCATGGCGTTGTTGTGCATGGCAAGTGAGCCGAGTCTCGCGCATCAACATGACTATTGACAAGGGAGTCCACGAGGCATTGTTTCTGAGGACGCAAGTGTTTCCATCAAGCTATTGGTCTCCGACAGCCCCCCATAGCACTGCAAGAACGGAACATGTGCAACGCCATCATTCTTGCCAGGCATGTTGCTAGGGAAAGGATGCAACGCCGTGCTGATTCGGTGTTTTGGGCAGATTGCTGCTGGCACGCCGGGCAAGGACCAAAACAGCACCAGTGGCAGTTCGCGTCGCGGAGAGTCTTGTCGCATTTGGCGGATTGGATGCGGGGCTGTCGCAGTGGTGACAGGTGAACTGCAAACGCGAGAGCTTGTTCTGCTATTTGCAAGGGATGCATTGTAAGGGAAGAGGAGGTGGTGACCACAGTCGTGAAGGGAGAGCTTGAGACCACAAACCGTGCGGAGCCCGGCGACTTCATCGCCGTAGGCAACGCAGGCCGTTCTATTGAGATAGTTGACAGTTGGCTTTACATCAGCCAAGGTGAGCAGTATATAATTTGGGCCGACGTTGGCAGCGACAAGCTGAACCTCGAAGTGGGCCCCAGGGATGTCGACCCAACGGTTTTCTGATGCTCCAGCGCCTCTTGGCCTAAATTATTGGGGAGGGGTATATGTTTTTAGGATTTTCGTTTTTTGTTGTTGATTTTTTACGATTTTGGCTCCATGGCTTCTTGGCTTCTGGTGCTTTTTTGGCTTTGGCTGCTCGCATCCTTTGCATTCCCGGTTCTTCTCCGGCAGGTGGCGTTTTGGCTTTTGCGGCTTTTTGCTGGTTTATGTGGCTTTTGGTGGCTTTGACTTTTCGTCACCTCTGCTTTCCCAGTTCCTCTCCGATTGTGGCTTTGGCTTCCCGCATACTCAGCAGTGTTCTTTATATTTTATGTTTATGTATGTCTGCACATATGGGTCTGTGTTTTTTTACCGTGTCAGTTCTTTAGTCTTCGTGGGAGGTGGGGCTTGGGCGAGCCATACCCCCGAATCATACCCCGAACCATACCCCCGAGCCATACCCCGAGTCATACCCCTTAAAAAACACAAAAAAAGAACTTGCAAGAACTGTGGCATTTGCATGTTGACATGTCCACTCACACACTCACTGGTTACTCGTGGGGGGCCATTTTGGCTCAAGTGGTGTTCCTTGACACTCGGCTCGGTCTCGGCTTGCTATTTTCAATGGAAAGTGCCAATGGATGGAGTTATAGAGCAATCCTGCGGATGTCCTGGCACTAGAGTTGTCTGTAGCATCCGTGGTGCTGTGGCGGGGGGGTGCAGCTTGACGTAAGACGCTGGGACTTGCAGGGCGCTGTGGCAGGGGGTGCCGCTGCTGAGCTTGAAGCTTGGAGCTTGCTTCCTGCAGTCTGTCCGACGCGGTGGAAACAGCTGTCTGTCCTGGGCCACTGTCGCAGTGAAACACAAGCTGTCTTTGTGCTCCTGGGGTACTCTTGGTGTCTTTCCGGTCGAAAAAAATCTGTCCCCCGATTCATACCCCCGATTCATACCCGATTCATACCCCGATTCATACCCTTCTGCTGCCATTTGCAGCCAAGAGCCTCTTGCGCTCTGGGCAGTACTAGCGAAGCTATGCCGCCCAAATCCTCAGAAGACACAAAACTCAAAGAGAAGCACTGCAGGAACCAGCTCGCCGCTTTTTTTGCAGAAGTTCGCCAGAAGGTGGGTTCGGAAGGCTTACTGCGATGTATCAAGCGCGACACGGTACACCACCTGTGAGACGGCCACTAGCCTCTGCGCGGCTGCCGTTTGAGGATGTCACGCTGTCTTGCCCTTACGCTGGTTCGTGACTGGTGCAGGTGGCGGGCCTGACTGGGCAGCGGCGCTTCCCCTTAAGCAACGCTTGCTTGGGTCTGTGAGCACGCGGGTCGCTTGAACTCCAAGTGGAGGTGGCCATGACGTTCGCCTCAGGCAGTGGCTCTGCGCCTTCCACCTAGCGCAGCAGCTTTCGCTAACCCACTCACGCAGAGTGGCAGCTGTCTAGTTCAGGCCACTCACAAGCGCCCCAGGCTGGCTTGTAGCAACTAAGCGGTCCAAATTCTCACGGCTATCCAGTTGCCAGCGCACGGGAGCTTTGCAGCGTCCAAAGCCACAAAGCAAGAGTTCAGAGGCGCGCGAGCCATACCCCGATTCATACCCCCGAGCCATACCCCGAACCATACCTGCGATTCATACCCCTTATACCAACCTCCCGGCACGGCCACGTCAAAAAAACACATACCCATATGTATGCACTTCTTCGAACATCATAAGGCCCCCCCCCCAAACCCCTCCGCTGCTTTCTAGACTCTATCGCGCTCTTGGTTGAATCATCACTTTCTTTGAACATCTTGGAAAAGGACGACAACCCCCCCCCAACCCCCCCGCTACTTTGCTCTTGCTCTTGCTGTTGCTCTTGCTCTTGCTCTTGCCTTGCTCTTGCCCTTGCCCTTGCCCTTGCCCTTGCTCTTGCTCTCGCCCTTGCCCTTGCCCTTGCCCTTGCCCTTGCCCTTGCGCTTGCGCTTGCCCTTGCCCTTGCCCTTGCCCTTGCCCTTGCCCTTGCCCTTGCCCTTGCCCTTGCTCTTGCTCTTGCTCTTGCGCTTGATCTTGCCCTTGCCCTTGCCCTTGCCCTTGCCCTTGCTCTTTTGCTCTTGAAATTGCTCTTGCTCTTTCTCTTTCTCCTGCTCTTTCTCTTTCTCTTTCAGGAGCATCGCATTGCCGCAGCATCACAGCCTGGGAGTCTGCTTATCGTGCCTGCTTCAGAACAACCATGCCTGCTTACTTGGCAGCCAAGCTAGGGCCAGAAGGCTTGCCACAATTGGGTCACCTCAAAAACATTTCTGTCTGAGCGTGCAGGCAAGTTGAGAACTCTTGTGTCAGGAGGCGCTTACATTGGGCATAGAGTGTGTGAAGCTTAGCTCCGGAGATGCCAGCCGAGGATTAGAACGCAAAGGGTGCCAGAACGGATGCTGGAGGAAGGTGATTGGCGCCTTGCCCGCAGGTGCTGATCCTAGCACCTTTTTCGGACTTCCGTGAGTGCTCCGGCACCACGTCCGCTGCACTACATGGGTGCAGCTTGCGCGGCATTGAAACGGCCTTCGTGCAATGGCTACAGGACAACGCCGACCGCACTGGGCATCCGCTGAGATCATGCAATTTTCTGAGGAATTGAGCCGTTCTTGAAGTCAGCGTGTTGATTCATGCGGGCCCAGGGGCAAATGCGCCACAGAGTTGTTCAGTCTCAGGTTGCTATGTCTGTGCCAACCCCATAGCACTGCAAGAATGGAACATGTTCGGTGTTTTGGGCAGATTGCTGCTGGCACGCCGGGCAAGGACCAAAACAGCACCAGTGGCAGTTCGCGTTGCGGAGAGTCTTGTCGCATTTGGCGGATTGGATGCGGGGCTGTCGCAGTGGTGACAGGTGAACTGCAAACGCGAGAGCTTGTTCTGCTGTTTGCAAGGGATGCATTGTAAGGGAAGAGGAGGTGGTCACCACAGTCGTGAAGGGAGAGCTTGAGACCACAAACCGTGCGGAGCCCGGCGACTTCATCGCCGTAGGCAACGCAGGCCGTTCTATTGAGATAGTTGACAGTTGGCTTTACATTAGCCAAGGTGAGCAGTATATCATTTGGGCCGACGTTGTCGGCGACAAGCTGAACTTCGAAGTGGGCCCCAGGGATGGCGACCCAACGGTTTTCTGATGCTCCAGCGCCTCTTGGCCTAAATTATTGGGGAGTGGTATATGTTTTTAGGATTTTCGTTTTTGTTTTTGGTTTTTTCGATTTTGGCTCCATGGCTTCTTTTTCGGCTTCTTGGCTTCTTGGCTTTTTGGCTTCTTGTTGGTTTATGCGGCTTTTGGTGGCTTTTTGGCTTTGGCTTTTCGCATCCTCTGCATTCCCAGTTCTTCTCCGGCAGGTGGCGTTTTGGCTTTGCGGCTTTTTGCTGGTTTATGTGGCTCTTGGTGGCTTTGGCTTTTCGCCACCTCTGCTTTCCCAGCTCCTCTCCGATTGTGGCTGTGGCTTCCCGCATTCTTAGCAGTGTTCTTTATATTTTATGTTTATGTATGTCTGCATGTATGTATGCACTTCTTCGAACATCATAGGGAAGCCCCCCCCCAACCCCTCCGCTGTTTTTTCTATTCTATCGCGCTCTTAGTTGAATCATGACTTTCTTCGAAGGGCGGCAGCCCCCCCCCAACCCCCCGGTACTCTTCACATCCTTTACAGAGTGCTAATTGCACCCCTATTTGAATCCTCACTTCTTCGAACATCATGCCCCCCAACCCCCGCTACTCTTTATATTTTTTGCTACAGGGATTGAAATGCCCTCCTATTTGAACCATCTTTTTTTCGACCCCGTCAACCCGCCAGCTACTGTTTAGATGTTTTTTGCACGATTTGTTGGTGATGCTGGGGATGTTGGTTGAACATGCGGGGGATGTTGAAAACGATGCTGGGGATGTTGAAAACGATGCTGGGGTTGTTGACGGGCTAGTGTAAAATATGTCAATTTCGCAAGAGAATGCAGTAAAATACTACATTTTGCTGGCCAAGACGCAAACGAAAAAAAGTATCACAAAAATCCAAAAATAAATCCGCATCCAATTGCAAGGGAGGCTGGGTACCGGTAATTGATGGCACCCTACGCCTGGGACTGGAAAACACAGAGTGCAGCAAGCCCTCTCGAAGCAAAGATCCGGCAGATCCCATTTTTGGGCGAGACGTTCGAAGGGAGTCCAAGTCAGCACGACACGACCAAACTTTTCAAGTCCAAAGGGAATGAAGGGCCAAGGGTGTTTTGTTAGGTGTGTTTTTTTTACGGCATGTTTTTGTTGGGCGGGGGGGAGGGGTGAAGGGAAACGAGAAGGGAAGGAAACCACCACCTACTCTAGGGGCTCCCCAACTTTGAGGCGCATCCATACGCTTTGCTTCGCGCCATGTCGCAACTAAACTCCTCCACTGCTGACATAATATGATGGTGCACACATACACATGTACCTGTGTATATGTAGATACACATACTTACACTTGGGAGACTCTGTCTCGCAAGAATTTTCCCGACCCCGCTGTTGCCCACTCTCACCCCTTCTAGTTTGCTTCATGAAGCATGGGACACTGAAACAAAGTGTCCAGACTTTTTCGGGCTGGTGATGACCGCTGGGGTTGTCAAACTCAGGTGTTTCTACCCCTCAAACATATTCTTGTGAAATGTCATAAACCGTGTTTCAACATTGAACAACACCTTCAAGCTGGGGATTCGGTTTTGAATTAAACCTGTTTTGCTTAGCCTAAATTATGATCTAACTCTGGAAAACGGGGGAGAGATCATAGACTGGGTATCCCCTGAGTCCCCCCATCACCCCCCAATCCCCTCAACCTCTCCCCCCCCATCACCCCCCCATCACCCCCCCATCACCCCCCCATCACCCCCCCATCACCCCCCCATCACCCCCCCATCACCCCCCCATCACCCCCCCATCACCCCATCACCCCCCCATCACCCCCCCATCACCCCCCATCACCCCCCCATCACCCCCCTATCACCCCCCTATCACCGCCCCAATCCCAAACCCTCCCCCCGCCCCTCAACCACCCCCCCAATCCCCTCACCCCCCAAGTTCCGCAGGCTGGGAAACCTATGCCTTGGAATCCGACCGCAAGGAGTGGGTCCGCAAGCAGTACTGCCAGGCGCGCTGGGATCGATCCACCCAGGATCCATGGATGGCACTCAGTCCCCTCAGGTGCGGTATCCTTGTGAACATACATATGACTGTGTCCTGTTTTCGGAGGCCCCCCCCCAACAAAAACAAAATATGGTTTTGCTCTTGGTTTCCCTTTAAAACCACCAAACAAAAAGGGGTACCAACTAAAAGCGACCTGGCTGTGCTGGGGCAGGCTTCAACGGCGACATGAAGCCGCCCAAAAGGGGAGAAATCAATGGCTTTACACATGGTTTTCCTACTCACCAAAAAGCGATCCTTTTTTGCGGATGGGGTACGACGTATCCCGAATGGCCCAGGTACCCTGCTAAAATGTTCCTTAACCACTTCGGGGGTACGTTTTGATGCCAACAGACTATTGCAAGTGGGGAACAAAGGAAATTCTGCAAATTCAACCGCGGCTTGTGGTTACTTGCAGTGTTTTTAGGGCATTGTTTGGGTTTCGCCTCAGATCATAGGAGTTTTACCAAATGAAGTCCATGGCGTCAGGTGATGATCACGGTGGGGTCCATCTACTGGACCCTGGAGACGGAGGAGGTCCTTACTGCCACGGAAGGGAACAAGGCCTGCAATGGCTGTGAGCCCAAGGGGCCCCTCCAGCGCGAGTTCAACTGAGCGGCCCTTGATGTGGAAACTATTGGATATTCCGTACTGAACCCGCCAAAGTGTTAGAACCTTGGGACCTCAGGTAAGTTGTTGTTTTACACCGCTGGGATTCCAGCCGCCTTGCGGATTTGCAAGAAGGTGGTTTGCTGTTTGACGGAGCCATGGCGTCAAGAGGACTGCGTTTGAGTGCAGGCGTGATGGCGTGCATGAGTGTTGTTTATTCAATCAATCTGGTGTGATGTGGACAGAAATGAGCATGCTCATGTCTTTCTTTTAGGGACCCCCCCAAAATGGTGGTTGTCCTGTTGGGGTTTCCTTCCCAACCACAAAAAAAGTGTGTCCAACTCCAAAGACAAGCCACCCAAAAAAGACGAGAGGGACAATGTCGAGTCTCGCTCGCGCGGACACCACACGTTGATCCAGAAGTTTCATGGGCACTGCTTGTGATTCGAATCGCACCGTGCCAGTGGTTGATACGATTCAGTGCTTGCTGTTGAATGCTTGACTCACTCCCTGAGTTCATGGACTTTAGTCACCTTTTTGGGCAGATCATTTTAGTGGCAAACAAGTTTTTGTTTTGGCAAGTTCACTCAGGAAGTGAGTTGATTGTTTCTGAATAGCCAAAACAACCATGTCTCTCAGTGAATCGCCATGTCCATTTCTGCCAATGGGACATGAGCAGAAGTGAACGCACAGGCCGTCTCAAGCCTGGAGAATCACAACCAGCCAAGTTCCAGCATTTCTTCCAAAGCTCATTCGATTTTTCAGCTGTCTAACCCAACCCAACCACACATGTCTAACTGAACTTGGACAAGATAAATTCACCTATCTTAACTCAAGGAACCCTAAATCGCTCCAATGGCAATGGCACCCCCAAATCACTCTCGTCTCCGGAGGTGCAGCTCATGGGGAAGTGGTTCCAAAAGAACAAGACGCAGCTGGAGGGCCTCACGGCGCCCCGGCACGGGAGAAACTAACTTTTCGATCCAATTTGCTGGTTTTGTGGTCCAGCGAGCTGGGTCAAAAGTAGGGGCCCTTTTTGGTATACCCATTTAAATGCGGCATGCATCGGCGGCACCAGGTGCCAGAAGGGTCCAGATGTTTGACACCCTCAAAATTCTGTGGTTGCTGATTCTCGGGTGACCGATAGTTGGCTTGAAATGGCGGTTTGGAGTTGGATGTGAACCTCTAACTTTTGTAGATTAAATGAGAAACCCTCCTGAATCACTTGCCACCAATCCAAACCACCAATCAGCTGGAAGCTGAGATTCGGGTAAGGAATCCTGGAGTCCTGGGAATGAACCGGAAGGAGACCCACTTTAAAGATGAGAACTAGCAAGTGTTTCGTCCGATTGAGCTGGGAAGTTGAGGGGCTGTCAGAAGGCGAGAGGTTGGAGAGTCGGAGAGGTAGGTTTTGTTGTTACAATGCCAGCATGGCCCCTGTTTTCTTCATGGATGTTGTGTTGGCAGGGTAGGTGCAGCTGGCATGTGAAATTCCAACATAGTGTTTTTTCTTCTTCTTCTTCTTTTTTTCTCTTTGCAGGTAGGACAGGGTACTGCTTCAAAACTGATGGTCAAGTTTCTTTGGTTGGCCCAAACGCGGATAGAACCACTTGACAGGGGTCAACTACCCAACACCGTTGGAGGGGCTGTTCCATCTGGCGAAGCGAGTTTTGCATCCAGAATCCGGCGAGGCAGGCCATGGACCGAGAAAGTGCCATCATCGACATGTGATATGCTCGTTGGGCGTGAGGGTAATATTCCGGTCGCTGATGCGTGAGTGTAATCGTAGTTGTAGTTGAAGCCTTGCTTGTGTGGTATTGTTGCGTTCAAGAAAAGGCCCGATATGTTCACTGTTTGACATCCGTTTCGCTGGACGAGCTTGAAGTTTACAACATACACATGGCTGTGATGTTTTCTGAGGAACGCCCTCCCAGATGGATGGTGGGATGTATGCCCACCCAAAGGATATCCACCAGAGGGTCCCCAATCAAACATATCACATGTGAACGCATCGCTCCATTCGTAAAACGAAGGGAGGCGAGTCCCCGATGTTGGGATCTGAGGAATTGATCCGGGACAAGTTGAACAAGCTCCAGCGGAGTGGTGTCGTGGCATTGGTCACTCAGGACCCGAAGATCCGAAAGCCAGCACATGGCGGCAGACATGGCGTGAAGGCACAAACCAAGTCGCACGAAACTTGGACCTGTGGGACCTCTGGTTTTTGGTTTCGGCGTGGTGTCTCAAATGGACCTTTGGTGTTTGGTTCCGGCGCCAGAATGGGCTAGACCCGGTTCCAGGTTTCGATGATCTTGCTGGGCTTTTCAAAAGCTGCAAACTTTTTTTGGCGGGCCCCCCAACATGGCGGGCCCTGTAGAACCACCTTTGAAGGGGTACCATCAAAAAGGCCCAAATGGGTGGTTTTCGAGCGTAAGGTTGGCTCCGAAGATTGCGGCCAGGACGTGCACAACCGCGATATCATTCAGGAGCTGGCGCAGTGCAAGGTCTTGTGGGTGTTCTCAAAATTGAGTCACGGGCTGATGGTAAAGGTCCATATATGAACCCATGCATGGTCATTTTGCACCTTTTGGGGGCGATTTCCCATAATCAAGCCATGACTACAAACGGTGAATCAACCCATAAACTAGGGTTCATGTTAAAACCCTCTAGGCCCCGTGCCGAAATTGGGTAGCAGTTCTGAGGTCCTTGTTGGTGTTGCTTCCCAAGTTCCATTGATCGCCATCTGGCTCAAGACACATTTGAGGTTCAAGATCCGATGTGTGACTGCGGATCTCCGTGATTGGCACAAAGAGCAAAACAACCGCTTGCGCCGCAGGGTCAGGACTACTGCTGTGATTATCATCCCTTCTTCCTTACAACGTTTACACGGGTTCGGCTATAACGGCATCGTCCGTATACACCTTTCTACGTGGTTGGTATTGAAGCTTGAGGGTTCGGTGCACAGCGTCCCACGGGACGTCACCTTGCCGTCTCTTGACAGGTTATCAGCCGTAACGACAAGCTCTACACTGGACTGGGAGACAGCTGGTTTATTGCGGGTACAGGGACAATAAAGGAACGATAACATACACAGTACAATGGCGTCTTCGGCGAGCCCAAGTACTGCAACTTTTGGGAACAGCAGCTCAGAGGGATCCAATGGATTGATGGCTCTTCCTGCGGTGATGGATATGGTTGCAGATTCACAGGATGAACCTGGGAGCGGAGGTTCCGCGCTATTCAGCGACATATCTACTCCCACAAGATCATGGAAGCAGATCGATGTTCATCAGGAGTCGAAGAAAAGAGAATCCCCACCGAGAAGATCATCATCTTCGCCTGCGACACCACGGACGTCGCAGAAGGGCGTGAGATCGACATCGAAGGGTGGGAGGTCAAAATCACCCACCAGTGCAGATTTTCGCGCCGTGATCAAAGAGAAGAATAAGATGGAGGTGGAGATCGGGGAATATCAGAAGACACTTGATGAGATGTCGGCAGCAATGGCGAATCTTAACCAAGAAGACTATGGAAGCACCATCCGGATCCAGGAGCTGGAAAGACGATGCGAGATTGCCAGCAAGCAGTCGGGACATCTAGTGAGTCACCACCAACACCACATGGCTGAGGCATGGCGCAAGTTTGAGGAAGAAGCCCAACAGATGCGCAAGGTGGAAATGAACGCATTTCAGTACGGGGAGAAGAAAGACATGGAGTCGAATATTATGATGCAACAGATGAGGCAAGCTGAAGGAACTATCATGGAGCAGAAGCGGGAGATTGCATTGATGAGATCCTACATGGCAAGCGAGAAGTCGGCCGCGCAGGAATCAGCTATACGTGCAAATCAGATACACCGTGAGGCTTCACAACAGATATCAGCTTATCAGCAACAGATCAGAGGCATAGAATCTTCTACATCTATCGAGAAGTTCAACGAGGAGGAGATGGTCCAAAGTCTGAAATCACAGTTGGAGCATGCACTCGTCAAGCGCCCCGAGACGTACTCTTTGGAGGACTCCAGGGAACAGCTGATGGCGAGGCTGAATGACGTTACAGTATTTGCGGAACAGGAATCGAAGAGAGCAGATTGCTTGCTTCGCGAAAAGGAAGAGATCGTCAAACAGTATGAGTCCGACGTGTCGATGAAGGACCAGATGATTGCTGTCGAAGGTGGTCATCGTCAGGATGCGATCTTGGAGTTAGCCCAGGTCAAAGAAGAGAAACAAGAGGAACGGTGCACGATGGACGAGAAGTCGAAGGAGGCTGAGTACTGGAGACAGACAGCCAAGGGAGTGTACGATGAGTACCTCGAGGAGATGCATGAGCTTCAGGGACAACTGAAGGAAAGAGAGGCGACGCTCAAGCAAGAAGAGAGTTTTGTGCGCCAACTCGATGCTGACAACGAGGAACTACGTGCACACAAGAAGCTGGAGATGCAGGAAGCCTCCAGCAGCAAAGATGGACATCGTGAACGAGCAGTAGTGAAACGCGCTGAGGGAGGAACCCAGGCTAATTCGAGTAGGGTAGACAAGAAGGTGGCTGGGTTGATCCCGTCATCGTCTTCGAAACAAATCCCTAATTCGTCGCTGATGCCAGGTTCGATCCTCTTTCCGTCTTTCGGTGATCCAATGATCGATGTACACCTATCCCAGATGCAAGGGGTTGTTGGGCATGTCCCACAATCCACTACTACGACTGGTGGTGGTGATGGAGGGGAAACAACGGTACTACGCCCCCATTGGATTACGGTGGATTCCCGCCCAATGGGAATGGGCAGGGAGCGGGTCGACGTCAGTTGAGCCTCGCTGGTGGCGGAGGAGGACCTCCGGATGATCCACCCGATGATGAGGATGAGGATGACGACGACGAAGGAGATGAGGAAGACGAGGAAGAAGAAGAGGAAGAAGACGATCGGACACGGAGGAGACGAAGGAGATCGAGAGATAACCGAGAGATCAAGAACGACCGACCGAGAATCTCGAGGAAAGAGGCCGAAAGAGTATCTATTCCGGCCTGGCCAAAGATCCATCAACTTGACACCTGGAAGATGCAACTGCTGATGAATGTTCTGAGCGCATGTGCAGATCCAGATACCGACGCATGGACGAAATGGCTGGAGCAGGCTCTTGGGTTGAACCCAGACCTGGATTTGCTTAGCGATTCAGGTGGCGACAGATTTGCTACGATAGATATTAAGATGGCCATGGGCATGCAGAACATGCTGAAACAAGCACCTGACGAAGCCAAGGACGTATACCTCGATGCTACACGACACTCTGAACTACGACATCAACAAGGGGTGATCGTGAAGGGACGAGAGTTGGTGGCATTAGTTATGCAATCATTCAGAACTTCCGATAGAACGGACCTTGTCTACCACATCGAGCACTTATTCAACCTTGACTTTCCTGGCGACAAGAACTTGGTCATGTTCAGGAACAAATGGTATGATTTGCTGCTGAAGATGAGGAGCGAGGACAGACCCAGTAAGCTGGCTCTCAGAGACATCCTTTACAGGAAGATCAAAGGGAGCAAGAAGATGGAGTTCGGCCTCAATGCCTACCATAGACTACCGGACAAGCATCCTCAGAAGACGTATGAATTCTTATTGGCGTTGATCGACTATCAGATCAAGGCAGATCGGGAAGACCTGATGCTCGACATGAAGGAGAAATCGGTCAAGTCGATGATGAAGTCAGGCGGGAAGGATGCGGCTCCAGCAACTGGCAAACAGGAGAACCAGGGTGGCAAGGGCAGAAAGGGGAAACCCGGTGGACCTGACGCCGCTCCTGTGCTCCCAAAAGCCAAAGCAAAGGGCCACGCTGGCAAGAACGGCAAGTCCGACGGTGCCGGCGACAGAGGCAAGAGTCCGGGCGGAGGCAAGGATAACCCCTGTTGGTACCACTTCAAATCGGCGAAGGGGTGCGTGAAAGGGAATGAATGCACTTTTTCCCACAGCAAGAAGACGGAGCACAAGTTGGAGAGTATGTCCAAGGGGAAAGGAAAGGGCAAATCCAAATCCAGATCATCGTCACCAAAGAGAGATGATGGAGCATGCTTCGCGTTTCAGAAGGGGAAGTGCGATAGGGGGAGCGCTTGTAAGTACAGACATGAGCTCATCAAGAACAATTCAGCTCCAGCAACGTCAAATGACAAGGCACAAGCCAAGTCGAAGGCTGCCGCCAAAGCCGCAGCGCCTGCCATTGTGAGGAGGGCCATCGCGATGCCTGCGATAGTCCTGAAGCAATCGGCTCCTGCGGGGAAGGTAAGCTTCAAGAAGGACGTTGATCATGTCGAACCGGACGAAGCCGAGACTATCTACCACGAGCACGATGACGACGCGATGAGCGAATCATCGAGATGGTCTGGCGAGTCCGAGATCCCCGAGAAAATGGTGTGGTTCAAGGAAGTGCTCGACGTCGACGAGAATGGGGAGATCACCTACCTCGAAGACGAGAGAAGGCAATGGGAACGAAAAGGGGAATGGTACGGTTATGAGGACAATGAGAATGAGCCTTATCAGTACGTGTACGTCGACGAGAAGAAGTTCAAAAGCAGTGATCATCGTGAATTATCAGCCTACCAAGTCCAACGATCATTGATACGTGCGAAGATACTGAGAGAAGTGGTGGATGATGTATATAAGAAGCACTACTTCCCGGTGACCAAGGAGAGCAGCATAATGTTCGAGTATGATCGGAACAAGGACGAGATCAAGGAATCGGCTGTCGACTGGAAGAAACAGCATGGTATGCCGAAGAACGTTTTCGCCATGTCAACGTGCATCAGCAAACGGGTGAAATGGTTGATGGACACCGGATGTGGTCATGATCTCATCGGAAGAGCCAAGGCGAAGAGCCTGGGTGTCGACATCGTGAAAGATGACGACGAGATCGTGTTCCAGACCGCGAATGGTTCCACTTCCACATCTGATGTGGCCAAGATAGTCGTGGACGAGTTGGACGAGACTGTCGAGCCGCATGTATTGGATGAGACACCCACGGTATTGTCAGTGGGGAGGAGATGCATGAAGATGGGTTATGCATTTCACTGGATGCCTGGTAAACTACCTTTCATGGTTACGCCAAAGCAGGGATTCGTGCACTTGCAGGTCAAGGACGACATCCCGTACCTAGTGAGTGATGGTAAACTTCGGAGTAACAGGCATCGCCCTACGATAGACGACCTCAAGGAGCACTTTTCGGAAGTATTGGCGATGGTAACGAACGACGAGGCAGATCAGGGAGGTGACGATGAGAACGACGTCACACCCGCCGCTGTCGGTGAGTCCGCAGAGGCCGAGGGCGAACACCACGACGGGGCATTCGACTTCGGGCCACCCGGAGGAGCCGGTCCGGTACGTCCGCCTCCCGTGGCTGAGGAAATACCTGTAGATGTTGGGTCAGTCCCGCATCGACATGGTGATGCCGAAGCTCACGAGGAAGAGGTTGATGAAGATGATCCAGATGCCGGAATCGAAGTA